CGTTTCGTCGCGTTTTTTCCGTTAAAAATTTAATTAAAATATATATATTTATTTTTCTTTAATTCTATATATATAAATATATATATTTAATATCGCGAATTCGTTTATTCGTTTTAATGTTATTTTAATATTTTAAAAAAAAAACGTATATATTTAAATAATTATTATTAGTTTTTACTGTTATTTTTTTTTTATATATAAACGTCACTGAAATTTTGAAAAAAACGAAAAAAAAAAATAACGAACTTTTTCTTCTCGTTAGTACGTTTACTTATTCTTAACTGACGTTACAAAAAAAAAAACCGGGAGAAACGAACTTATACGGAAATATCCGATGTTACGCGATATCAAAACGCCATATTTTGCAAAAATAAGATTTTTTTCCCCTGACAAAAAGTACATTTAATTTATTTATTATTATTATTATTATTATTTACCTTCTTTTTTTTTTTTTTTTCTTAAATTATTATTATTATTATTAAGAAATGTTTATTTACAATTGATGTAGTTAGGAATTCATAATAAAATGGTGAGTTTAATTATTATTATTTTTTTACACACTATCATTTAATTATAATAAAAAAAAAAAAAAAAAAAAATTTTATTTTAAATTCTATTATCGGGCGTCTGACTGAAATCGATGGACCAAAAAAAAAATTTTCCCTGGGCTTCCTTTGTTTTTCATTTTATTTTATTAAATTCTTGAATGAATTTATTAACGTTTTCTTTTTTTAACATCGTAAAACAAATCTAAATATGTTTTCCGACAAATTTTTCTCTTTTATTTCATTTTAAAACGTTTTATTCGAATTGATATGACGATGTAAAAGTGTGGGAAACGAAAAAAAAAAAAAAAAAAAAAATTTTCTAAAATCATTTCCTGGGATTTGAATCCCTGGACAAGCTCCTGCTGTCTGTTGCTGGGACTTAAATCGCCGTTAACATATATTTCAACGTTTATTTTTTTTTTTAATAAAATTTTTCTTTCATTATTTAAAAAAAAAAAAAAAAAATTATATTATTTTCAATAAATACTTTTTTTTTTTTTTTTTGTTAACGTATTTTTTTTGTAATCGTTAAGGTAGTTGTTGTTTTGTTTATTATTATTTTTTTTTTTTTCTTTTTTATTTACTTTTAATGTGTCATAACAATTCTCTTTTTATAAAATGTTATTATTATCATCATTATTATTAGCTATTATATAAATAAATTGATTGTTTCATTTTTTTTCTTTTATTATTATTGTCATTAGTTTATAAGTTTTTATAAATTTATGTTTTTTTTTTAACTAATAAAAAAAATTTTTTTTGTGAAATGTTTCAGTGTCGAGAAGACCATGGTTAACTAACACCAAATATTTAAGTGTCTATTAACTGAATAAATATATATATATATTTATTTATATATATATATATATATATGTATATATTTCTTATGCACATCTTGATCTCTTATCTGTGATTTAAGTTATTTTATTTTGTTTTTTTTTTTTTTCCTGTCAAAGTATTTATTTATTATTATAATATATATGATATGGCAACTACTTATATGGCAAAAAAAAAGGTATGATTATTAACAAAAATCAATTTGATTATTAGAAAAACAGAAAATTTATTAAATAATTTGTTTTCGTTTTAGTCTTGTACTTCAGACAGTTCGACTGGTCCAAGTTCGCCAAGTTCTATAACTGCTCTTTCTTATGTTAATAATGTTCAAAATACAAACGGATCTTCAAACACAATGCAAAATGGTATAATGCTCAACAATGGAAATACATCTGTACCCCCTCAAACCATAGTAAATGGTCAGAATTCTTCAGAATCTCCTAGTCCTGGTATTAATAATAATAATGCACCAAAGTATGGAACACCAGTGAGTTAAAATTTTTTTCTTTAAATCATTGTGAAATTTCTTCGAATCGAATAATTATAAAACAACTTTTTTTTTTCTCTCTAAAGGTTCCAAACAGAATATTTGTAGGTGGAATATCTGCACAAACTACAGAAAGTGAATTAGCCCAATTGTTTAGTAGTTTTGGAACTGTTAAAGGTACAAAAATAATATTCGATAGAGCTGGAGTGTCAAAAGGTTATGGTTTTGTCACATTCGAAACTGAAATGGAAGCTCGTAGAATAATGAGAGAAGCTCAAAGTGTAATGTTTAAACAGAGAAAACTTAATATTGCTCCGGCAATTAAAAAACAGGTACGCTTTTATTAACATAATTAATTTTTTGTTTTGTTTTGGAAAGTTAATAAAAAAGAAAATTTTGTCGATTTCTTTATTACAGCCCTTCTCCAGGTCTCTGGAAGTTCAGTCCCCTCCAATAGGTATTCCGTCTACAGTGATGTATGCTAACGGTTCACCATATGTGTTCCATAATGGAATGGCATTTTTTAGTCCCCCTGAACCTCCATCTAATTTTCAAGGTATTTTTATAAAAAAATTTTATCAACTTTATTTTTAAAAATGTAAACATTTATTATTTATTAATTTTTATT